AATATCTCTTTCGTGCTGGACAGATTGAGCGTTGTATATTACAGCAATAATTTGTATAGGAAAGCTATGACTGTGTGCACATTGAATGCCTTGTTAACGTATAACCAGTTAAACACAAAAGCTTTTCGTAGATGGGTGCACATTAAGAAAATTACGTCCAAAGAAGTCGCAAGCTTAGCTATGTTGGACTGCTTGACCAGTGATGAAGATGAGATAAAGAGCGAACTGGGACTTTCAATCGATATCTCTAAGTACGACGTTACCGCGTTGTGTCTGCGTGAAGTCAACAGTTTACTGGAGGAACAGGTCGCATTTGCGAACGGCGTGGCAGCGGTTCTGGAAAAATTGAGGAAGCTACAGCCGAGTGATCAATATGTACACACGGTGCAGTTATTAGGGTATTATTTCTTAGATTTCAATTACGAGAGCTCTATTCTGGAGTACCACGAGCAAGCTATACACGATTTGAAGCAGAAAAAGTCGAACTCCGTAGCTGTTCTGTGCTTGGAAGCTAATTTAAGTCTTTTTACCTTTGCAGAGAACTTGCGAGTTGGAAATAGAAAGTACAACGTTTGCTCTGTGCGCTCCCAAGCTACGAGATCTAGTCGAGAACAAATCTCCAAATGTAGTTCCTGCTTACACTATGATAAATGTAAAAAAGGACACCAATCTTAAGTTGTATCTGCAAAACTGTTTGAAGAAGTGGAAGCAACTGTTTAGTCGCTACTTTGTAAGTTGCTAGAGAGTATTTATTGTGTCGGGCTATTATCGAAAGCTTGTAGCCCAGTAATCATGTGAGTGTACTTTATTGTCAATAGAAAAAAATTGTCAAGAATTGGGAGCCTAAGCTTATACTTTGCATGCTGATAACGGCCGGTGAATATGCTCGATTATATCGGTATGAAGACTACGAGGCTGAAATATGGACATTGGCATACAAGTTGGCATTAGAAATAAACGATCGTACAATTATTTATAGTAAGTTAATCATTATAATAATTTAGCATTTATCGTAATTAAGAGAAGACAATGTTTCATTGATGAGTTAATATAAAGTC